TAACATTATACTTACCAGTGGAAAGTAAAGAATACGATTTTAAATTATGACTATTTTATCAACATGGGAAGTAGCTAAATGGTTTAGTAGAAATCGTTTTGAATTTGGGGATTAAAATGGAGGACCTACGAAGCCCATGCTACTAAATTCAAAGTTGAATATATATATATATTTCTTACGATGTTATACTGAGTCCGTGTCTGTGGAGTTCAAGGCCTATCGATCTGCGAATTAATTTGGATTCTTGGCCATGACCAAGACACCAGCGTAATAATGGCATTTGTACAGCACTGCTCACTATTGTTAAGCCAAATTCAACACCAATATAGGCGTCATAAACTCGGCGTTCCTATTAGCAAACAATTTACTACACTAAAGGATTGGCTCAATTTATTCAATAAATCAATAATCCATATACGCAACTAATGTGTCATCTAGGGGATAAAGGTAAGTAGCTCACTACTGAAGATGTTACCAAGGCTCTTAATGAATTTCTTTTGCAGTAGTCGGCGTACTCACCTGTTCAGAGTTAGGGGCTGCATAGGATTAAGATGAGTTCCCGTAGGAGCAACTTCGAGACACCTTTCAGTACAAGGATAGGGCACGCAGGACATTCCAATTAACGTCTTACAACTCATCAACATCATTGACATCATCACGCTCAGGTAGAAGTGGGAAGACAGTAATAAATTAAAATTATTTAATCAAAATTGATTTATTGATTAAAAAAACTGGATTTATTTCCCAATCAGCTTTTTACCGTTCCTGTTGTATGATTGGCCTGAATACTTCCTTCCCACTTGGCTTGGATAAGGGCTTTGAAGGAGGCAGAGACTGCTGTCTTGATTATATTTTGAATGCGGTAAAATCAATTTTAGATATCTGCATCGAAATCCCGACAGTCCAGAGACCGATTTTGTGCCACTGCAAGTGACAATTTACAAGAAGTCAGTCGGTGGAGACCTCGAGTTTGTGACAAGGGAGTCGAAGTACATCAAAGTCAACATTGCCGGAGCTAGAAAACTCGAACCTCCCATGATTCGTATCTTCAGACAGGTGTGACCATAAATTATTATCTTTTGTGTTTATACACATTTTTTGTAGGTCAATCTGACTCATATTGGAGGAAGTTTTGCTGTTCTACCCAAAGATTGTATCCACGTGGTGAATCCCAACTTGGAAGACCTTCTAGAGGTGAATATTACCAAAGTAGAAGGCCCTCTTTATGCTCAATTAGTGAATCTTCGAGATCCCACTCAAGCAGTACTCAGTTTCCGTATAGCTGAACTTCGGAAAGGTCTTATCGCCCTTCAATTGCTCAATTATGCTGAGATGCTAGAAAAGGTAAAGATTGCAATTAATTACCCCCTTGAAGTTGGGTTAGGCATATTTCTTACCTGGTGCCTTCAGGTGCTTCTTTGCGTACCAAATCCAACTTCTTTTAACGCACCGATTGTGAAGATGTACCAATGACTAATACTTGGTTTTGGCGCCAGCCGAGGAAAAATAACACTATCTTTTTACCATAGAAGACAAATGGTGATGCCTTTCAGGACAGGCAATAAAGTTTGCTAGAGACCCATTTCTATTACCGGGTGGTTTTTTCCGAAAGTCCACCCATCCGAATAAGCGCCCTGTTATTTAGGGTGCGCACACACACACACACGTATATATACACACCTATGTTCTTCTCAGGTGAAATATTGTATAGTCGTCAGTGGGCAGCTATTTGGTTCCAAATAATAGCCTCATGAAATGGAATTTTCCGTTTTACCGCCCTGGGCGGATTTTCAGAAAACCTAGATATCCCCTATTCCACCAAGAATTCTTCCAATACGATGACACTTTAAGACCCAGAGTATGATCAAGCGCATTGATTGCAGTTGTTTGATAGGGAAAGAAGCGATTGGAAAGTCATGGAAGGCATGGAAAAATCAAATGAATCATAGCGTGGGAGTTCTATTTATCCATATATAGGCGTACATTGTTCCATATGTGGTAAAATAATTCAACCCAGAGCCCTCTTACTCGTAGTGGGATTTGAGGATGTTTTGAGAATAAAGTTTGTGGCTCCCTTTAAATTGAAAGATAGGAGTCCAAAGGTTCATTGTAAATTGTGCAAAGGTTATAATCTAGCATGAAACTTTGTCCAGAAAATTGTCATTTTTTGGTTGAATATGTAGCTATATTTAAAAAAATCACTCAATATAGTTTTATTGAATATGTTTCGGACGTTATACAAACCCACCCATGAAGAATCAGCGGTAATACTTCTAGAAGTCGAACAACAGGTTCAAAAAGCTTCTTATAACGTCCTCTTGAATAAATCGTCACTAGAATTAGCTAGTGAGAGTTCAAAGTAGAAGAAAATCAGAGCCTTGATGAGGTCAGAGTTCAATGAAGAATTATTAATAATTGTGATTACCATTACCGCTACCCTAATCGAATGTGGATTGCTGATTGGCTAGTATGCCTCTGCTCACACGTTCGCATTTATCATAGTAATTCGATTGGACAAATGGTGAGAGCACTGTAACCACAACAATTATAGGTTATATTAGGTTATTTATTTCGAACTTTTAAGTGTTTAACCAACCAATGTATTCAAATTGAAATTTCATTTTTATATATTAAAATCTGTAACATTATATTTATTGACTTTCAATTGAGGTATGGTTACATATTTTTTTTCAAGAAATTGGCTGAAAACATTCAGTCTATCAAAAAATATTACTTTATAACTTGGCGTTCTACATTTTGGAGATGAAGGGTCAATTGGAGCTTGTAATTCAATTAACTCTAATTTGAACAAATTAGCGCTCTTCCTATTTCAATAACTTTCGTGGCATAGACTCTGAAAGACCTTTTCATGACATATTAGGCTTCAGATATTTGATCCCATTATTCTTCTATAGACTCAAGTTTTGTTTCTGAATGCAGGCAAGATAGCTAGGTAAAGCCTGTGCCTCAACTAGAATCTCCATCTACTTAAACGCTTTCCTTAATTGAGTTTTTTTGGTATGGGTACCACAGAGCATTAATCACCCTACCCAATTTTTTTGAAATTACTGAATCATTAGTCGGAAGACAGTTAACCATGTTTGAAGAGACCTAAAGCTTGTTGCCAAGGCATAAATAAGGGTATAGTCAAAATGGAGACCACATAATGGTGTGGAGAGAAATTAAAAAAATCAATTTTAATGAAGTCGAATCTAGTCGAATAGATCGATTTCTAGGTGAGTATGTTGTTTTATTCATTAATTGTGGTGGGAGATATTTGTCTTTCCACTTGAGCCAACACAGTGTAGAGAACTCTGAAAACTAACCATTTTAACGTCTTTATATTTGTAAACTATTGAACATTATGGGAAAAATTACATGGTCTTAGTAACCAGCTGAGAAAGAAGAAATGTATTTGGGAAAATCGAACTAGTATAAAGGGAGAAAAAATGAATAGAATCGATCATCAAGGGGTGTGTTTTGTGTTTGTTTAATTTAAAATCAATGGATTTTGTTCGCAGGCGTCTTGATGGTTATCATTAGGCCTTTAGCTGACTTCAGGCTTCACAGAGAGGAAGGAATATCAAATTGAAAAAAGTCGAGAGGGAGGGGGGGGGGAACAGAAGAGTGTTTCAAAGATGTAAGAAACAAATACAACGGTAGGAAAAAGGTGAGGCGAGTACTGTGGAAATAGTCAAATATGGCATAGAGTGAGATGAAGGTAGTTTGAAGTGAGAAGTCAACTGTTAGTTAATAGACTTTTTGCCGTATGAATATACGTTGCCCGAGGTGCACCACGTGGAGGCAAGTCTATCGCACACGCTCTAGTATATATAAATGAGATTCTTTAAAATAAAGTTTGGTTAACCAACCGCCAATCTTTAAGGTTTGTGACACCGAAGTTAGCAATTATGTCATCATTTAAGATGATGCCTGATAAAACGCGTTTTAAGGTCGTACTCCTTTGGGGGTTTTAACATTTTCACCAGCCAGCAAATAAGCTTAACTTCACACACACCTGATTGCCTTTCAAGGAGGCGAGGCGAGAAAAGAGGTGTGGCTGACTCAGCTAATGAGGTCAAGGGTTAACCTTAGAGTGACGTGAAATATCTGGTGCGTCACAGCTTGAACAGCTAATTCTGACCTACATCTGGAGGCGGAAATTAACTGAGAACTGCAATTTCGCAGCCAACTTGGCAACTAACTTTGGTAAATGTCTTTAGCTTTGCACTATGGTTTACCAATTGGAATTATAAATTTTCCTAAACCACCCTAAAAAAGAGCCAAATCATGCAGGAAGGCGGAATAAATGTGTGTGTATGTAAAAAGAATATATTTTTTTTTGAGTTGAGCGAATGTGTGATGACAGCTTACATCAACTCCTCAGTTGGTCTTTTCTCTTTTGACTAAAAACACTCACCATATCGCAAGTGGGCGTAATTTGTTGATTTTGAAAATCGCCACATAACGTCAGACAGCTCAAGTTGTTGGAACAAAATCTGGATGACCCCCCCCCCCCACCTCCCACTCCCCACCCCCTCCCCACTCCACCGCTCAATTTTCTATATCGCATGTTGCAAGCTTACACACTTAATTAATAATAGATTAAGTGAAAAACATTCAATAGAAAAATAGGACGCGGCTCCGGAAATAGGGAATGTCTACGAACTTCAATTACAAGAATTCCAGATGTGGTAAAAAACATTCATTCCAGCCAACATGTCCTTCAAGTGTGTCTACTAGTACATTTGCGGTAAATACTCTACAAAGAGAGTGTGGTGAGGTAGATGAGTTTAGCTGCGGTATCGAGTTACTTAGAGACAAAACTAGACTGTGACTTTTCCCACTGTTAGGTCCTATTAGCGACTCTGCTCTTGACAACTTGAACCCACGACTATTCTATTTTAATATATTCCAAGGTATTCACGCTGACATTGGTTGCAATTGATCCATTCATGCAAGTAAGCGAGCCGGTAAATTTGCGTCTGGTTAGTCGACTTCAACCAGTTTTCTCCACTCGTCTGCTTGGCTCCACTCTCGGTGTAAAACCCTTCGTATTCCAAGTCTTCTCGCTTCCATTGCTCTCCTACACTGGGGCAGTGAGTATTGTTCAAAAACACAATTTACAGGTATGAGGAAAGCTTTAATCTACCCCCCCCCCTGCTCACTAAAAGTCAGGAAACGAGTGATTTTGATCACTTCTTTTTCACCTAGGTCGTTGGATATATCGACGAATCGATGGTGCGTTTTCAAGTCCTCGCCAACAAGGAAGAAGAGGAGTATTTTAAGTTTTCAAATGTGACAGGGACAGGCGGGGGTCAACTGCAATTTAAAGGAAGGTCGCTGGTTGGGTCTGAGTCCCTAGGGGGTTACTGGACTCTCAATGAAATCGCTGGTCAACAATTGGTTTACGCTCATCCTGGAAGCCTTAATCCATCTGTTGATCGATTTAGGCTTCGTCCAAGTCTTGATATAGCAAAAATTGGTGGATATAACCGATTGATTTCAAAGCAAAGAAAACGTAGAAATGTCGGTGTCTCTGAATCGGAATTGGAATTACCTGTAAGGATTGTTCGACTCTATGACAAAGTAAGTTCCTGGCTTTTAACTTCCGGACTTCAAAGTCATTTAACTCACATTATTGAACGTTATTGCAATTGTTTATTTTTTTTCAATAGGCTAGAGAAAATCCTCTCAAGCAAGGAGTTAATATCCACCTTCTCCAAGGAGATATTCATTGCTTTACTTCCGAAGAACTCATTAATTCGGCAACTCTTGAAGCTGCTCGAGCCGATTTCATTGACATGAAATTTGACGTGAAGGTTAACGACTGAGTACAAATTATCTACATGTCAATAACATACTCCACTATTCTAAATCCTGATTTATATTCCAGAGTCATCCAACGCAGGGCCGTCTAGTGAGACGTTCGTCATTGCTTCAAGTTGCAGGCGGAAATTCAACAGACGAAAATGGCAACCATCAGTTGACTAGCGTAACTGAAATTGACGATAGCGCGGAATTGAATTCGGAATACAACAAGAAAGGGAATATAAGTTCCATTAGTCTCATGGACCTAGAACGTGGCGAAGTCTGTTACCTTAGTGTTCGACGTGATTCCAGGACGGATATCATCGAGGTACAACAATCCGGAGAAAGCAGATTCCTTAAAGAATCGATTACGGTGAATATACTGGTAAGTGGAAATTACAATCGCATATATTTTTTGTGACTAAGATTGTATTTCTCAAATTTTCATTTAGGTAACATTTCTTCTGTTTTGATCCCCATTAAGATCGATTTCATGCTCTTAATTTTGTTCACTTATATTGTGAAATGGTTAGAGTAGTGTCAAAGAAAAGGAAGAATGTAGTTATACTCCGCCACATCTTATTGAGTAGACAAAGACCGTCCAGGGGTATTGCCCCCCCCCCCCCCCAAGTGGGGTGGAATTATCATCGCAACCTGTACGTAGAGTGGACCAATGGGAAGAAAGCGAGCAGTGACCTTTAATTGCTCTGTAACTAGATCAAACTTCATGGTCGTTGCTGTAGTATTTGCTCTTGTGGAGCGATGTGGACATTATTTAAAACTCACCATTTGTAATTTTCACTCCTCTTGGGGACCCCTTTCCCACTTTTCACACAAACTACAGATCTTTTATCCTTTCAAATTTACCTTTCTGGTCCATATGATGTGACCTAATAAAGTTCTACTTAGATAGTGTTACCTACAGGCCAGACGGATCGGAAATTGTATATTTTTTTGACACAGAGACATTAACCGTTGGGTCGCCATGATGTGATGAATATGCTGGGTGATTTGGAGAAATAAAAATAATGTTGACATGGACTACGCTGACAAAAAAAATGTCGCCTCTTTTCACGAAGTCTTCTCAATAATTAAATCATTGTATCATTCATCGTTCTGGATTAGCCTGTTATGTTTGAATAGGCCAAATAGGGGGTCAAGATGAGGTCATGCGGAAGCGAGTATTGAACAGCGAGCCATCGAATACTGTTATGAGTTAAATCGATAATTCATTCAAGCTTCTGGATCCGACCGTCGGTTCCACGAGGCTGCGTTAGTCAATCCAACCTCACAAACCAAATGAAGCAAGATTCCTTCATGCCTTCACGTTGTTCTCAGCATCAAATTTTTGATCAACAATCATTTATCTTAGATCTTCTTTTAATTGATTTTTATTTTTTTCCTAAGATTAAATCTCTTACACTTTTGCTGCATTAATACTCTAAGGAAATCTTAACGGAGAAAAGAAAAAAAGTCGAAATTTTAGTGGAAGTATTTTGGAGGCAACTTTAATCCAGAAGTATTCGCTGGAAGCTCATCAGCAGTCATCACATCCAAGCCGATAATGCACCAAGCGCAGGAACGTGTCAATGCACGATAAGTAGTAAAATAAGAATGGAATAGACGATTCGATCATTATAACAAGCCCGATATTTTCTTAATTAGTTAATTACAAATTATCGGAGAAAAAAAGTGTTTCCTCATTTTAGCCTAAACCGAAGTATCAGCTTACTCAACGCTCAGATCCAACTCAACCGCACATGGAAGTAGCCGAGAGCAACAACTTCGCTGTGCTTCAACCAACTCATCTTCGTCATGTGGTCCGACCAACACGCCAATGGTTGCGCTCATCAGCTCATAACCTCGTTCCCATCATGCCAAATTCCACTGGTCTGGTGTATAAAGTAACAATGCACCCATGGTTTGTGACGCCAAATGAGGCAAATCTCGATGCGGGACGATTGGTTTCCTTGAGTGCGATGAACGCCGCTCAGTTGGAAGGAGATATGGCTTTGAGGCCTGGTCTTACCAATCTCCTACGTGAACTTGAACCTACAGGATTGAGTGAGTTTACTCAAGCTCAAATCGATGCTGGTGACATTGTTTACGTGCCCCCGACAAAGGATATTGGACCTAGTGTAAGCGACTATTTATTTCAAAACCGTTGGGTTGAAGGGATGGGGGGGGTGTTAAAACACCATTGCTAACTTCCAGTTTGTACTTATTTTTTTCAGGATCAAATTGTGGAATTCAAGTACACGGTCTCAGCCACAGGAATACCCCCAATGGTGGAAAAATCCTTCCGACTGAAAGTTCTTGCAGAAGACAATAAGAAACCCATTTTAAAGGCAAGCTATTCCTCGTTAATTTCTGACGAATAAGTCTGTGGAAATTGAGGTTTGCCTTACTTTCGATTTGCAGCTGAGCTGAAGGAGGTAGTACCGAAATTTGATTACAATTGCCTGAAGCAAGGCAGCTCAAGTGAATCTGTTTTTATTATAATGTTGACGTAGAGAGATGGTCGGTTATGGTCACCGTGGCACAAGATTAGAGGTTTCTACTACTTCCTAAATGTACTCACCACCCCTACCCCCCACCCCCCCCCCCTTCCTGCAAATTTTGTCAACCCAACCACCCTCAATCATTTTGTAAAGTTAAGGTCAAAAGACAGAAAGAGTAACTGAATATGTCCTTTCAATTATGGCAAAATTAGTCTTGAATCGTACGCTAAATCGTCCCGATTAACTGGGGAATAAAAACAACTTTCTCATCAATTCAGGAGAGTGGGCCGAAATAATGAAAGTTGGCAGATCAATAGAGATAGTCGATGAGTAAGGCTTTGCTCCTCGTATTTGCATATACAATGTAAGGCGGGGAGGGGGGGGGGGTTGAGGGAATGGGAAGAAAAGTTGCGATTTCATATACCAATCAGCTTTTCAATGCCTGCAGATAGATTTGTGAGAAGAGCGTTGTGATAATTACTACACATGCTTGTCATTTGCTCGTCAGCGTCGAGGCATCCCTAGTTGCTCTATTTTGGCTTATCAACCCGTCAGTTTCTGCTCTAGAGTATTGATTTATGGGGCCTGTCACCCTTGAAAGTGCCTTAAGCAAATAAGTTAGAGTGATGCTAAACGCTCATTTGGCTTTTTTTTAACTCGAAACCTTAACGCCTTGTTACCATTTAATCCTGCAGTTACTTAAACCACTAAAAGTTCACAGAGATGGTGAACTTGTACTAGACAATGGGGTTTTTGATCTTTCTGACGAGGACACATTCTTCGATCGTCTCCGGTTGAAACTCACCAAGGCTCCAAAGTATGGAGGTCTATTTGAAATGATACAATTGAAGCGCGAGCCGCTTGGACTGAATACCACAGAAATGGAAAATACAACTACTACGACAAGTGCTCCCTCCGTTACTCGACGAAAAATCGTGGAAGACGAAGAAATCCCGGCTAGTTGGATTGTTCAAGGTCGACTGAAGTGCGTCTTTAATTTCAAAATACATTTTGATGGGTATTTGTCGAGAAAGTTGCCATACTTTTCCCTTGTCTTTAACTTGTAGTTACATTCAAGATGGTTCAAATGTGAAGGAAGATGCCTTTAAGTTAACAGCCACAGATGGTCATCAAGACGCCGATCCTCTTAATCTTTCAATTCAGATACGTCCGCGAATATTGCTTGAGCCAACATGGAACCTGTTGGTTAATAATAGTATAATCGTGGAGGAGAACTCAACGGTTACGCTGCACCCATCAGTGTTTCCAGCACTCACACCTCCTCCAATTGGTGGTCCAAGATTTTTTGTTGTCGTCCCTCCAACCAAAGGCAAACTACTTCTCGACAGAAGACGAAAGACCGCACAATTCACCACCAACGATGTTGCAAACAGTCGAATTTCCTACAGTCACGGTCCTGCAGAGGTTGGGACGAAGCAAAAAGTCGACTTGGTTCGAATATGGGACTTTAAAACTGGGAAACTATTCTCGCTGAATTTTACTCTCCTCCCGGTGAATAGTCAGCCACCTCACATTAATGTCCTGGCACCACTTCAAGTGAAAGAAGGTGGAACAGTTGTTTTGAATCATCAAACAATCACCATTCGTGACCCAGATACAGTTGACTCAGAAATCAAGATTAAAATGGTGACCCATCCCAAGTGGGGTCATTTGGAGTTGCAACCTCAAAATCTTACCTCCATTGGAATGACCGATTTCGCCTTCTCCGCGGAAGATTTGGCATCCGGTCGAGTTTTCTACGTAAATTCACGCCACAAGGAGGGCCTTGAGTCGGTTTCTGATATCTTTTCAATTCGAGCATACGATGAGAAATTCCCTTCTAGAGAATCCACTGCGATTCATGTTTCCATTCATCCAGTTAATGACGAGATGCCTGCAGTTAGACTTGTCGAATACTTCGCGGTTCCCTTGAAAGGTCGGCGTGTTCTTACACCCTATCTCTTTAGTGTCAGTGACAAGGATGTACCAAGAGATATTCTAGAAATTTCCTTCCCAAAATTACCCCGTTTCGGTCATATAACAGTCTATTGGCAACATGGTGAACAGTACACAATTACCCAAGCATCCGCACCGATTGCGGAAAGCTACTTGGGAATGATGAACCTCGTCTATATTCAGAATGGAAGTGTTGAGTTGCCAGCAAGAGATAGTTTCACGGTATCTGTGTCTGACGGTCTTCATGTGGTAAAGAAATCAACTCAAGTTCTTCTAAGACCTGAGAATCGGTATCCACCGGAGCTACGTATAACAAGTGAAGGCGGTTTAGTTCTGGAAGGCCTGGCTTGGCGGCAGCTCACCTCTGTACTTTACGTTTCTGATCCTGATACTTCACCAGAAGATCTTGCCATTATTATAGTGAGGGCTCCAAAGTTGGGACAAGTTGAACGTTTACAGCGACAAGATGTCACTGGAATACCTGCTAATGAAGACTTGATCGAAGCTGCAATGGAAAAATACGAAGCGGAAATAGGAGAGGAGAGGAAAGATGCAAAGAATCTTAGGGAGGGGGATCGATTTACTAAGCGGCAACTGGACACTGGTAGAATCTAGTAAGACACAGTTAAAATTTCTCTCTGTCTTCTATTCACGTTGGTGCTATCATTTGCATTGCTTTTTAGCTACACTTATACGGGTGAATATACATCAACTTACGTCTATGATTCCATAACATTATCTGTTACTGATGGTCAATTTGAAAGTGGGTCAATTGACTTACCAATAAGAATAAGAGCCACTAAAGGAAGGGCCAATCCTATGGTTCAATCACAATCTTCTCTTAATGCTGAAGTACTTGATCGAAGTAGATCAGATACAGATGCCCTCCTCTCTGATGCAGCCTACGAACCTCGTGGTAAATACTATCTACTTGTAATAATTAAGTAGAAATATAAATCTATTGTAACTTGTTGTCTTTTTAGAGGTCAAGGAGCAAACAACAAAATCAGCCACTATCTACACGGACGATTTTAAGGTAACTGTGGCAGATGCGGTTGAGATTGAAGTTGGCGAGCACAAAACGTTGATGGCTGGGGAGCATATTCGAATAGAACCGATTAGATCAACTGGAGACTTTGCAGAAACGGTGGCTAGTGCACATTTTCAGCATCTAGAATCCGAAACGAGTAGAAGGGAATGTGTTCTGCTAGTAAGATCAAACACAACCTCGAATTACTCGCTGACAGGCTTTACATACAAGGATATTACCAATGAACTTGTTATGCTTAGTGTAAGTTCACATCAACTATTTTAGTTCATTCTCAAACAACGATGAATTTTCTGAAAAAAATGCCATTTCACCTTTTAGGCGGAATCTTGTCTGAACAAATCTCCAAAGCAAACAGTTATTAATCTTCTTCTTACTATTCCTTCTCAAATGCCAATTTCTATTAAGCTTCCGATTAAGCTAACGGGGGAGTTAGACAATTTTCCACGTCCCGTGATTGCTATTGGTCAACCTCTCACTGTTATAACTGATTCCGACACACCGATTACTCTGTCTCACATTCAACTTACTAACTCTGACATGGATCCAACGAAAGTCTACCTTTATACGAAATCTGGAACCCTTCATTGGAAATACGACTGCAATTCAGTAGTTAAAGTTTTCTCCTTCTATAACATAATTCACGATGATATTGTCTACCATAATCACAACGGGGATCTTAATCCAATTGAACTTCTTGTAATTAATTTGAATCACCTCGAATTTGATTTTAACTCCGATCACGTCCAACGCTTCGTAGAGTCCATTATTTTATCAGAATCGAGTCCATTGATGCAGTACATTCGCTATGATAATCCAGATCGCATAACAGCTGAACCTCTATCCCTGCAGATAAATGGTGATGAACTCTACTCATACGTCAGCAGCACAGAGAAGATTTTTTCAAGGGCCCCAAGTGCGGAGGAGCTCACACGAGTGCGCTCTGGAGAAATGGGATTTTTCTTAACACCTAAACACCTTCTGTCTTTCCAACTTACCACTACTTACCTTCTTGATCCACGGATGCATGACAGACGAATCATAATCAACATGAAAACAGGCGAAACCGTTACACGTTTTACGCAAGAAGATATTAACAGACTTCGATTGGCTCTTGTGGTCTACTCAAATCCGCTTCAAACGAAAATTACTCCCGTTGGTATTCAAAAAACTCGCATGGAAATTGGTTTCGATGTGGGAATAATACCCACTATCTCTGGCTCCAACTATCCTGAAAATATAACGTAAGTTATGGCTTTAATTTACCATTCATCCAATGTAAATTGATACACATTTAAATTTTCACTTCTAAGAAGGAGGCGGCCAATTATATTTATTTATTTATTCATATCAAATGGCAGGCGTTTTGATAGTCATCATTAGCCCTTTAGTTGGCTCCAGGCTTCACAGAGAGGAAGGAACATCAGAGTGAGAAAAAGTGAAGGGGGAACAGAAGAGTGTTTCAAGAATGTAAAAGAGGCAGATACAAAGGTATGTGATTCAAGATGTAAAGAGAATTTCAAAGATGTAAAAGAACAGACAAAAAAGTGAGTGATTCAAAGATGTAAAAGAGACAGGCACAAAGGCAGGGGGGGGAACAGAAGAGTGTTTCATAGATGTAAAAGAGAGAGACACAAAGGCAGAGTGTTACAGAAGGTGAGGTGAGTACTGTGAAAGTAGTCGAATATGACAGGTGAGGTGAGTACTGTGGAAGTAGTCGAATATGATATACAATGGAGTGATGGTAGTTTGAAGTCAGAAGTCATCTGCCAGTTTATAGACTTTTTGCTGTATGAGTGTACGTTGCCCAAGGTGCACCACGTGGTGGTAAGTCTATCGCACACCAATTATATTATTCCAATTGACCTTGCCACTATTACGATATGACAGCCAGTCTGGGCTGAGGGGGGCTAGCTCTCTGATGACCACTGAACTCACTTATTGATCTTATTGGCAGACATCGCCGTAAAAAATCAATGATGCTTAAACCAGTTCCAATGAGACGAAATCCGCAAATTCTACTGATTAAAGCTCAAAAAAGCATTCTTAAATCATTACTTTTGTTTTAAAATCATTTTCTACGAAGCCATCACTATTTCAGACGAAGCACACATTTTATAAAAAAACATCGGTATAGTTATTTTAAGATAAGCCCAGCGTGTGAAATCTGTTGTCCTTTGACATTATAAAAGTAGGCTGATTTAAAGCGGTTGAAGCTGTTGTCTTGGCCTATTATGTGCAGCTATCGCAAGTACGTATACTTTGAGCTAGATTATGCCAGATTTTTTTCACTAATAAGACTGGGCTTATGCTCAGTAATATCTATGGCCCCTTCTCCTAGCCTGGAAAGCTCCCAGGCAACAGACGTATGACGTGGAATACATTTAATTAGTCTGTGTGTCATTGACACGGAGCTTGGTCACTGTTTTAAAATGGAAGATTTGCTAACACAAGAAAGGCCTATTGATTGGCTGTTGGCTGGGTGATTACCGGGCTCACGATCGCACTTACACGACATGTAGCACTGCCGCACTTCCAAGCCCGTTTGAGTGCGCCTGAGGTTTGTTTATTCAGAGATGACAGTGTTGGGGGGGGGGGCTCCAGAGGTTCGAAAAAATTAGCTACTGCAATTCAATGTGATGTAAAATGTTTACTAGTGGAAAGCAACTGCATTCGATTAACAGAGAATCCAGCCAAGCATTCAGGCGAGGAGAACGAAAAGAAGCTTAGAGCCAATGCTAAGTCTCCAAAATATCGAGGTACTTAGGATTTTTGAGTTCAGATTGCTTCACTACCGACTAAATTGACTGCAAGTGATTGGCTCAAATATCCAGTGATTAATGACCAATTTTAACTAGGATAGTCTGTTCCAAAGACGGAGAAGGTTGAATTCGCCTTCGATGATATCATCACACAGAAGGGATGAGAGGGGAAGCTGGTTAGGATCAGAGAGCTATGCTCATTCAAGGCGAATAGAGTGACATATGGCAAACCATATTTAATAATTATGAACCGAATACAGCTGAGATAAACGAATGTAGAAAACTTTATCAGCTGCTGAGAGAGAAGAAACAAAACAGTGGTCCTACAATGGATTCCTGGTCACTGTGGCATTAAAGGCAATGAGATTGCTGACACACTTGCTAAGAAGGGGACACCGATTTTGCAATGCATGGACCGCCTGGTAAGGGATAACAATTTTGCAAGGCATAGACCGGCCGATGTCTTTCCACATAATGAAGGCTTTATGGACCGGGGTCTTCCCACACAATGAAGGCCTTAATCAGAAAAGAATTCCCGACCTCAATGTGCAACGAAATTAAAGCTCGAAGAGAATTCAAGACCTCAAGGTACAACGAACTTAAAGCTCGGAAATGAGAAACAGTGGACAGTGGCACTCTCCCGATCAGAAGAGAATTCAAGATCTCAAGGTGCAACGAACTTAAACAACAAAAGAGAAACAGTGGACAGTGGCACTCTCCGACATAGCCGACTAGCCAAGAATCGACCTCAAGGTTCAACGAACTCAAGAACAAAGGGGAAACAGTGGACAGTGGCACTCTCCCGACATACAGGAGAAATAGTGGACAGTGGCACTCTCCGACATACCCGGCTGGCGAGAATCGAAGCCGTTGCTGAGTTTAGACTACGTATCGGACAGTCCACACAATGAAGGCCTTAATCAGGAGAGAATTCATGTGTGCAACGAAATTAAAGCTCGAATTCCAGACCTCAAGGTTCAACGAACTCAAAGCTCGAACAACAGAGAAACAGTGGACAGTGGCACTCTCCGACATAGCCGACTAGCCAAGAATCAGAAACAGTGGACAGTGGCACTCTTCGATATAGCTAGGAGAAATAGTGGACAGTGGCACTCTCCGACATACCCGGCTGGCGAGAATCGAAGCCGTTGCTGAGTTTAGACTACGTATCGGACAGTAGTGACAGTGGCACTCCCCGACATACCCGACTGGCCAAGAATCGGAGCTGTTGCTGAGTTTAGACTACGTACCGTACACGATTGCCTGACAAAACACCTTCACAGATTAGGGGTATACACTCAACCCACATGCCCTCTATGTAACCTACAGGAGGAAATGGAGAATATCCACCTGATTCGGTGTCCAGCTCTAAAGACAAGGACGGAAAGCCAGAGATACTGGGAAACTAGAAGACAGCCAATGAACTGATATTAATTAACTGCTATAAATGTACCCCCCACTCTTGGGGGATGCTGAAGTCAAAGTTTAAGGGCTAACGATAAATATCATAAAGCCTGCCATTTGAAATAAATAAATAAATAATTATGAACTCGTTTTAATATAGACGATGGCCATTTCATTTAAGTAACAACTAAACTTGATTTTCAATTTAGAAAGCAATAGCAGGTGTGGGTTTGAATTTATTGATAATCCAGCCTGGGGAGTTAAAAATTAGTGGTTTTAATTGATCAAAAATAGTTAGTTTGAAAATGAAGCATTCCCATTACAGTTGACTCCAGTCTGTATTTGAATCTGTCAATCCCGATTACATTTTCTTAAACAGAGTTAAGATAAGTGTATTGAGACCAATCACAGTGGATTGACCATAATGACTTTGAAAGTTGTCACATTCGGACCATATCAACGTCCCAGGGTTAGATAACATGATTTAGTTAATTGTTTTTTATTCTTTTAACTTCAGACTTAGCGTCTACTGGGCTCAGGTTGGTTTCGACAGAAAACGCTACCGAATTTGTCCCAAGTCGGGGGTTCTTGACCTTCCATTAGTACGTCGTGGAGCTCTGAAACATCGAGTAGAAGTTTACGTTGGTCTTGACGCCACATCGAAACGTGACGGTCTAGAAGTGGAACTACTTTCACCAAAGTTGGTCACTTTTGAAGCAGGTACGATGCAATTTGCCTAATCATCACACATAATCCATAGATGAAATCCTCAAGCACGTTAGGATCCGTGTAAGCATGAATGAGGAGTTAGATGCCGAAAAATCCTCCTTCTCCGTTGCTGTCAAGGCGCCGTCTGCAGCTGTTCTGGATACAAATAGCGAAGCTATCGTCATTATAAATCGTACGTTTTTTAAATAGATGAAATTCAACACCCCCGCACTACAAGCCTTTAACTAAAAACATGTTCCCCTTCTTTTCAGATAAAGTCAAATGCCACACACTACCCTACTTTACCGTATTTAATGTAAGTTTGAATGTGCCTTCAATGCGGTATTGATTGCTATTCCTACCTCCAGTTTACAAAACATTTATTAATATAATGCTAATTCGGTATTGATAAGTCATAATATTGGTTTGCCAAATTGATTATACTACTAATGCAAATCGTGCTGAAAGAATAGAGACAAAGAATTGAAGAACAAAAGCGGAAAATACAACTATCCACGCAAAACATGGATATTTAAGATTGATTGGTCATCTGATTGGCCAATGATATAAAGGTGAGAAGACCACTTTTGCATGGTCAGTTGTAGTGGGGGAGAAGGGGGTTGGGGAGAATAGTAATGGAGTTTCCAGTTTTCGAGTTCAATTTAGTTAATATCTTATGAACTCTGTTTTACCAAAATCGGCCGCTACTTCGTTAATTATTAATTTAAAAGTATATTTAAAATGTAATTCTCAGTCTGCAATAGCCTACAACTAGGCATAGAATAGAATCTGGATGGTGTACACTGTTTGCTTCTCCTAAATGAAAATCGAATGGATTAATAAGAAGATGACGGAGAGGTAAGGATCGCAATTGTGATTGTGTAGACTGGAGGATTTCAAGACAGTATCCTTCAGAATCTGTTTCCAATCTTTCTTTGTTAATATTTTTTGTATCAAATGGCAGGCTTTATGATAGTTATCATTAGCCTTTTAGTTAATTTCGGGCTTTACAGAGGAGATAAACAGCAAAGTCGCAAAAAGTCGAGGGGAGGGGGTTGGAACGGAAGAACGATCCACAGGTACAAAGGAGACAGGTGTAAAGGTATGGGAAAAGGTGATGTGATTACCGTGGAAGTGATCGGATAGAATATACAGTAGGGTCATGGTAGTTCGAAGTCAGAATTCAAATAAACTTTTTTTGCCTGCTGAGTACACGTTGCCCAGGGAGCATTATACTAATAATGACAATCGAATGGGGTTATCTTTTTATTTCGGAATATATTTCGGAATGCAATAGGCCTCAGAAACGGGTGGAGAAAGAAGTGGTCAAGACAGGAGGAGCAATCGAATGTCTCTGCAGGATTGGCTGGTCTCCAACTCCATTCCAGATTCAAATGCTCTGAACAAAGCCTATCTGAAGTCGATGCGTCGACGAAAACGTATTCTCACTTATAATTGTGATCCAGGTTAGTTGATTAACCAACACATAATACATATTTGATGGATTTAGTGTTATGTGTCTCGTCTGTTATCTAATTATAATCAATTTGGTTAAAACAAATTTTAAATGCTCCAAATGTATGAAAATGAGTTTGATGCCCTTAAGAAATTACAACTTTTATATTGAAATAAATATTATGATTGACTGGTTGCCTTATCAGCCTGTAATATTACTGGAAAATACCAGTATTCTTAGCTATGGTATGGTAAATGATAAACCCATTGACTCAGCGAAGAACTTCATTAAAAAGATTCGTAGAATATCTACGCTGAACCTGAGGCCAAACAATACTGTTTGGTATCCGAGCCAGAAGAATACCTTGAAATGACGTCTATTAAAAGAAAGCTTAGTAAACAATTTATTATTATTATTTCAAATGACAGGCTTTATGATATTTATCATTAGCTCTTAAACTTTGACTTCAGCTTCCCCCAAGGGTGGGAGGTACATATATAGCAGTTAATTAATAGCAGTTTATAAGTTGTCTTCTGGTTTCCCAGTATTTATGGGTTTTCGTCGTTGTCTTTAGGGCTGGACACCGAATCAGGTGCCCTATCGTTGTCTTTAGGGCTGGACACCGAATCAGGGGGGGCTGTCCTTGTCTTTAGAGCTGGACACCGAATCAGGTGGGTCTGCCGTTGTCTTTAGAGCTGGACACCGAATCAGGTGGGTCATCACCATTTCCTCCGCTAGACACCGAATCAGGTGGGTCTTCTCCATTTCCTCCTTGGTCGAATCAGATGGGTCTTCTCCATTTCCTCCTGTAGGTTTCACATCAGGTGGGTCTTCTCCATTTCCTCCTGTAGGTTACAGATCAGATGGGTCTTCTCCATTTCCTCATGTAGGTTACATATGGTGGGTCTTCTCCGTTTCCTCCTGTAGGTCACATAGACAGGTGGGTCTTCTCCATTTCCTCCTGTAGGTCACATAGAGGGCATGTGGGTTGAGTGTATACTCCCAAACTGTGAAGGTGTTTTTCCAGGCAATCGTGTCCGTTACATAGTCTAAACTCAGTAACTGCTTCGATTCTTGGCCAGTCGATAGTCTAAACTCAGCAACGGCTTCGATTCTTGGTAACCGTGTCCGTTACATAGTCTAAACTCAGTAACTGCTTCGATTCTTGGCCAGTCGACTATATCGGAGAGTGCCACTGTCCACTGTTTCTCCTTTGTTCGTGCTTTAAGTTTGTTTTCGCCTTGGGGTCTTGAGTAAATGATTTATAAGATTAAGCATTCATGTTGTGTTCAGAAATCATTAGAAAACAAATTTATTTTCAGCAAACACTTTTGCCTGTAGGTTGGACGCTTTATGAAAGCCGATGCTATCGTATGTACCAAAATGCAAACAAAACTTGGCTTGAGGCTCGTGATCATTGTGAAGCCGAGCACGGTTACTTAGCAAGTATTCCAGACACAGCCACAAGTAATTGGATGAAGTCCCTTCTCAACCCTCATACGAAGTCATTTTGGATCGGTAAGCAATCCATCATCCCTGTTTATGTGGCAGCCGCCTAAAAGTGGTGAAGTAAGTATCCCATTTTTTTTGCAGGACTACACAAGCCGGTGATGAATGGTGGGTGGATTTGGCACAGCATGGAACAAACAAGTTTCACGAATTGGGATTCAGGATTTCCCAGGCGACAAAGAGGTAAACGATCATTAAAGGCGAGGCGTCGACGTCTATTCCGAAGACAATCTTCACCTGCACGAAAGCTGCATCGAGTACCTATTACAACTTGGCGAAGTTCGGCAGCATACAATCTCCGTCGCCATAGACGATCTTTAACTGAAAAAATATCTCCACGTGATGAAGGTCTTCGCACGGTTTGCGTTGCCCTTGAACCCCATCGCAACATGACCTGGCGTAACACTCCTTGCGTCATGTCACCCAAACTATCTTTTATTTGCATGAAAAACCCCAATTGACGGGACATTTAATGTATACCTTCAGATAATGTTACTTTTCACCTGTTTCATCAATTGTTAATTAATTGATTTATTCATTTTGAGGAATACAAGCAATTATAATGTCTTTTTAATATTTATTTCAATGCATTGTAAGGCATTAAGTCTTATTTATTAAGAAGAAGAAGAAGGAATGTGGTTTTCAACACAAATTTCCACTGAAACGTCCTTTGCAAATGCTTGTGTTTTTTTAGTTTGGAATGGGGTGTGCGATAGACTTACCTCCACGTGGTGCACCCTGGGCAACGTATACTCATACGGCAAAAAAGTCTATAAACCGACATTCAACTTCTGACTTCAAAATACCATGGCCCGACTGCTTGTCATATTCGACCCCTTTAACAGTACTCATCTTACCTATTTCCCTACCTTTGTGTCTGTCTGCCTCTTTTACATCTGTGAATCGCTCTTCTGTTCTCCACCCCTCGACTTTCTGCTACTTTGATGAACCTTCCTTCTGTGAAGCCCGAAGTGAGCTAAATGGTTAATGATAGCTATCAAAACGCCTGCCATTTGAAATAAATAAATAAAGTTTGGAGTGGCTCTTGGGATTAGCTAAGTTGCCTCATTTTGGCTGTGTTCTCTGGAAAGGAGTTTAGTCATTTTATGCACTTTCAGCTACAGTGACCAAGCTATGATTTTTGTTTATTGACAGACTGACTAATAGGTCGATATATATATATATATTTGTGACCTCATTTGCTCCATTTTGCGATCGGTATTATGATCGCAAGTTTCAAGGCCCAAGGGCTTCTTAACTTCAGCATGGCAGCGTTATGAAGGGCATTCGCTCGAAAAATGGAGATCATTAAAAAAATTAGGGATTTTAAGATTTTTACGTTTGCAATCTAATAGCGAACTTGACCAAATTTTTTCGCATTGTTCCACACAGGTGGCGGTACTAAAAAGGTGCTCAACATTTCATTATTTCCAAAGTTGAACTACTTTGAGGGCTCTGACAGAATCAGGCTAGATGTCTACACATAGAATCAAAAAATAATTCTAAGTCTAATTGACTATGTCAGCCTTTCAAGAGAGAAGAAACCGAGATCGGAATGGAGGCATGGGGGTTATTAGATTGACAACGGAAGTGAACGTTTTTTCAAATGGCAGGCTTTATGATATTTATCGTTAGCCCTTAAACTTTGACCTCAGCTTTCCCCAAGGGGGGGGGGGTACGTATATAGCAGTTAATTAATAGCAGTTCATTTGCCGTCTTCTTGACATACAATGGGTTGAGGGTGTTTGAAATGAGAAGTCAACTGTTGGTTAATAGACTTTTTGCCGTATGAGTACACGTTGCCCAGGGTGCACCACGTAGAGGTAAGTCCATTACACATCCCACAACTTAGAGTTTAGACAAAGTACCGGACACGATTGCTTGGCAAAACATCTTCACAGATTGGGAGTA